AAGAATATAGATTTGTAAAATCACATGTTAATCTTCCAATTGATTCTCTCTTTCTCAGATTCATTGATGATCTATTAGTTATTAATTTTAATGATTTCGATATTCTAGCAAAACATATTTATCCAAATGAATTAATTCTTAATAAAACAAATAATAGTAATTCTTCAGCAAATTTTTTAGATTTGACTCTTAATATTAATGCAGATAAAAATATTACATTTAAACTTTTTGACAAAAGAAATGAATTTAAATTTCCAGTTAAAAAATGCATAGATTTCAACTCTAACTTAGCCAATAAGGTTTTTTCTAATATTATTGCCAATCAAATTCATAGATTTTACAGGAATAATTCTAACTATAACGAGTTTTTATTAGATACTGATATATATAAAAACGATTTAATTAATAGCCATTTTCCTAGTTCATTTCTTAATTTCTATTTTAAAAAAATCTTAAAAAACTTGGTACATTAATTTTTAATTTTTATTTAATTTTTCTGTTTTAAGAATAAGCTCTGATTTTTTCAAGGTAGGAACTAACTATGATAAACTATTCCTAAAGCCACTGGACGGAATAGTTTGGATGTATGACCTTTTATACTGGATTAGTTAAATATTTTTTAGTTACTTTTTAGTATTTGTAGCCTCTTGAAATTAATTTAATTTTAATTGTCCAGTATAATAAACAGTTTATTTATTTATTTATTTATTTATTTATTATTTTTGTATAAGTGGAATGGGCTCTGGTTCGTAAAGAACAACCCCAAATGAATGCAGGTGATACGTGTATACTTTAAAATTATGTAAGTTTGTATAAATGAAAAATAAAACCTATAAACGGTTTTCTATTCCTGTATGCAGGCTCTGATTTTTAAATAAGTCACCCTATGAAATATGGATATGTGTAATCTGTAAAATTATGTAAGGTTTTTGAATGAAGGATAAAGTCTATAAACGGCTTTCTATCCAATTGTACAGACTGACTCTTAAATTAATTTCCCTATGAATGATTTTTTTTTAGTCTGCTAATTTAATCAATTCGTTAAACATTTTCATTATTATTTCTTTTAAATTTTTAATTTTTTCTCATAGATGGCAGCACTAATATTTTACTAAAAATTTGTTCTTCTTCTTCGATCAAATATATATTTTTTTAATTTTATTTTATTCGATTCAAGCTATAAGCACAACTTCCAATATTTTACATCTTCGCGATTTTTGTTAACTGTTTTATTATTGTACTTTTAAACCTAAACCGCGCTTTAATTCCCGAAGGTAAGTTCGATTTCTTTTTACATTTTTCTTTTATTTCATGATTTTTTACAGCATAAGGTTTTTTGTGATATCGACACATATAAAGAATAATTTTTATCTTAGGATAATTATTCTTTATTCAGAAATATCGCATTTATAGCAATTAGATGTTTCTTGATAACGACTATATGCTTTTACCATTCTTGTTTCTCTATTTTATTCATGTTTTCATGTTAATTTGTGTGTATATATATATATATANAAAAATCATTATATATATATATATAGAAAGAGAGAGAGAGTTGTATAGTTTGTGTAAAGTTAGAACTCCCCTAGCTATTCACATGGACCCGTAGCGGTTACTATGGCAACGAGGTATTTCAAGTAGGGGTGTTGGGTCATTGCATAGGATAGGTTTTGGCTCGTGGCTGAAGAGAGAAAGGGAATCTTTCTCTTTGGTCTACTGTGTTAGCCTTAGAGTGAAAGGAAGCTACCCTCCCTGAAATGAGCTATTCTTGTTTCCATAGCAGCAAATGATCTCAGACTTTTTGCTGAGGGGAGTTCTTACCGTAGACAAACTATACCTTACTTTAGAACTTTCTGCCAGCATCCACTTTCTGAAAGGCAGAGTATCACAATCACACTGCCATGGATTATGAGACAGAGTGAAAGTCTGGACTTTAGACGGCGGATTATTGTAGAATCTTGTGATATTGTTTTCTGCCAGTAGAAGAGTCTCTACGTTATTCGGAAGTGTAAAGTCCAATTGTGAAATAAAGTTGCGTTCCAGATTCAAGGTACGTAGCTTGGACGTTGGATGAAGGTTGAGTTCGATTGGATTAGATAGCATGTTTTCTCGAAGATTTAGTTCAATCGTCAATTCTGGAAATCTACTTGGAATCTAGTAAAATGTAAAGGTATTTTAATGAATAGAAAAATCTTCAGAATTATGTTCACGTACATTGCGCCAGCTAGAAAACGGACCACCCTGAATAACTTTTGATTTATTGATCGGTTCTTTTCTTTCTAGAACTCAATCTTAATGGTTCGAGGGGGTGTTCTCAAATATGCTAATACACATAGATGATATAATTTAAAGCACGAAAACAGACACAAAAATGCACTTTCTCTGAATGAACGTACCTTTTTCTGCAATGGATTCGGCTGTCTCAACTCTACAATTCAGGGGTTAGCCGCAATCTGAGAAATATCGTTTGGACTCCTTAATTTTAATTTCACTTTTTACGTATTTCACCATATCTCAAAAATATTTTTTAAACGAATATATGAAATTTGCACATAATTATAAAATCTGTTTATGTAAAAATATGCGAAAATAACTTTTGCATTGCATTATTTGTAATTTATTATTATTACACTCTATAACGAAAAAATCGACGCACCAGGAAGGAGTTGTCCGATTGAAACGAAAATTGGTGGATAGGAAGACAATGTACAAAATAGTAAATGATTAAAATTTCAGAACAATTGAATAATTTATTGCAGAGTTACAATAACAAGTTCAATAAGGTGTTGACCCGCCTTTAGCCTGGATACAAGCTGCCACACGGCGTGGCATAGACCGATAAAGCTCCCGGATAGTCTTTTGCGGTATTTTCTGCCAAATTCGATCCTATTGTCGAACGAGGTCATCAACATTCCGTGGTAAATGCAATCGCCTTCCCATCATATCCCAGACATGCTCGATGGGAGAGAGATCTGATGATCTGGCAGGCCAAGGAAGTGTTTGATAAGCTTGCAGACAGTTCATAGCAACTCGCATCGTATGTGGTCCGGCATTGCGTGCTGAAAAACCAGCCCAGGGCGCTGCAAAAGGAACGGTAGCAAAACTGGTCTTAGTATGTCGTCGACGTACCGCTGTGCAGTAAGTGTACCTCTAATGACGACCAAAGGGGTCCGGCTGTCAAAGGAAATGGCACCCCATACCATAATGCCTTGTTGAGGGCCGGTGTGGCGTGCAATAGTGAAGGCAGGATCCGCCCTCTGCCCTGTGCGTCTCCAAACACGTCTTCGATGATCGTCAGGACACAGTTGGAAGCGGGACTCGTCACTAAAGACTATACGTCCCCAGTCGGCATCATTCCAGCCATATCTGTTCAAAACATTCATGCATACGAAATTTCAAAGCGAGCGGATGATTGCTTCTTGGTGCGTCGATTTTATAGAGTGTATATTTAATAATTGTCAGAAAATTTTTGCATTGTAAGGATTGCAATTTCTTATATCATTTTGAGCAATGCAATTCTAGATGGAAAAATATGAAATTTGAGTGAAATCGATCGAGTAATTCTAGAGAAATTGAATTTTTTAAAAAGTCGTATTTTTGAAATTGGCATGTTTATCCGTCTATAAAAGGTCTGTTTATGCAGAGAAAGTACTTTATTTGAGTCTGATTGCGTATCTTAAAATATCGAATGCACTAATTAATTAGCATATTTGAGATAATCCCAACGAACCATTAAGATTGAGTTGTAGAACGTGATATCCGATCATTAGTTCGAAATATAGTCAGAATGGTTTATTGTTTTATTTTACACACTGTGCTTTACATTTTGCGATTGCAATTGTACACCATAAGAGGGCTCAAATTGTATCTATCAGAATAGAATTAGTAAAAATACAAATAAGTTATCAAGATGTGCAGTAACTTACTTGCAGACATTACATTTTTGAAATATTTAAATAATCAATATGAATTTGATGCTGTTAAAATTGTAAGTCAAATAATCATAGTTATGTAAACTAAGAATAAAATTTTTTAAAAATATTAAATTAAAAATAAGTTTATTTATTTATTTTTGAAATAGTAAGCTATAAATTTAATTTTACTTTAAAATCACTTTCTAAGCGCGATCTTATGTATTTTAAATTAAAAAAAATTTCACTACAAAAAAAAAAATATCTGACATTTTCGGCTTTCAGAAATTTTGAGGTTGACATTACTTTTTTTTTCTTATTTCAATATAAACAAAAAAGGAATGATAACAAGCTGTGAAAAAACTGTAGATAAAAAGATATTTTTTAATGATTATTTTTTAATGTGCAGAAGCAAAATCCTTAGTCAAATCTCACTTTTTGCTGTATAATTACTCAGGTACTGAAATTTTTCATCCATAAGACTCCTTTAAAAGAATTAGAGGTGCTAACATTATCTTTTTTGTTTCTTATTCCAAATAAAATTCATTGCAATCAAATAATAGAAAAATGCGAAGCATAATAAAATGATAAACATCGTCCCAGAAATAGTTCGGTAATGATGGAGATTCAAGAGGTATCAACAGGATTGGTATAAGTGTCCCCTCGAACGGTCGATGAGATTTTTCTATTGGTAGAAACTTCTATATTTCAACGTAAAAATCTTTTATTTTAAAAGGTAAGTTTCTAATTGTTTAACCTACAAGGGCAAAACACTTATTCTAAAAAAATGCATACAGGATTGGTTAGTGATTGATATTTGGCACGTCCCTGGCTGACCGGTATCACCTTCCTAGCTCTGTACAAAGCGTCTAGATAGCGGGTTCGAACCCCACTGTTACCCTGAATGTATTTTCTTGATATCATTCTCTGTATTTTGCTATCTGTCCTTCTATTTGATAAAGGTTTTTAAGCCTAAACGTATTACACAAGCCTGAAAATGTATGCAATTCCAATAAACCAATTTATACTACCAATTGCATTCTGCTAAACATTTTATTTTTATATTTATAATTGATTCTTGCTTTAACAAATTTGATTCAATTTGAGTTGTATTACCGTTAAATTTGAATAGAACCTATTCCGGTTCATAGTAGCCAGTCCCGTAACACTAATTAAAGGTATACTATTAACTACTAGAATTGTAAAACTAATTGCTTTCAAGCGCTTGCACTTTTCCTTAACCCCTTGGGGACGGTTGATTCAGAAAAGCATTCATACAAAATCAGAATCAAGCTGTAATTAAATAAAAAACGGTAACTTAAATGTAGTCGTTGCTAATTTGACAGACTTACTTTGCTTTTACTTTAATTATTGTTAGTTTAATCATATATATAATCAATGTTAATTCAAAGTATAACTAAATAGTTTTATTTTGAACAAAGTAATGGTGAATTAAATAAATCAAACAATTATAACTCCGCCCACAAATAAACTGCTATAGAACTACTTTGATTACCAGTTTTATCTTTTTGTCCTGATTGATACAGTTTTATGCTGTCACGTATTTGTGACAGTCGGCCCGAAAGGGTTAAACAACAAAGAGATAAAGTATATCGTTTCAGTATACTATCTTTTGTCGGAATTAATGTATTTCTTGATTAAAATTTTCGATCGAAATTTGTTGTTCGAAAAGTGTTCAACATACTTGTTTCAAGCCCCAGCTAGTTATCTTACAGATGTGCCAACTATCTTGGCTCTGAGAAAAAAAAATATTTTGCTGTGGTAACGAATTTTAAGTGATGTTTAGTTTGGTATTTTTTATTTCAAGTACTTTTTCCACTGCTACATATGAAGAATTCAAAGTATCATATGAAGTATAACCTTTTTTGCAGTCATCTCGTGGTAACACTCTTAGAAAGTAGGCGGAATTATCCTTGATTACAAGTTTACTACATAATTCTCTACCAATTTATTAAAACTTTTGCAGAAAGCGGAGCAGTTGGCAGACTTCATCTTATTGTGTTGTAGGTTTTGGCAAAACGTCGTATTTGGCAAACCAACGTAAGTTTTTTAATTTAACTAAATATTATGCAATTTATAAATTTATTAAGAGAAATAGATTTCTTGAAAAAATAATAATAAATACCCGGCTCAGTCTGTTCGAAGAGCAATTTACATACGCATATCCCTCGTCTTGGTAAGGAACACATGAACATTCACAAATACGAGTTGGGCAATCTTCTTTAGGCCAAGATAAATCTTGCTTAGTCAATTGACTCAGCATATTTGATTTGAAAATGAGTGGTGATGAACACATGAACTCATAACTGAAGTTTTTTAATTTATTCTTCTTCAATCTATTAGTCAAATCTTCATTCCATTCTTTGATCCACAAAAGCCGGCAATCACACACCCACTTATTTCCTGCAACATAGAAAGATCGTAAATGTATTAAATTTCCCAACTTTGGAAGAAGTTTGCTTGAGATTTAATCGGGCCGATTTCATTCCTAACGAATATTAATAGAAGAAATTTTTTTAAAGAATTAATCTAAGGCATTCCAGTGATGGAACGTGATCTGATTAAAAAAAATTTTTAATTTTTTTCATTCCATTCAATTGATTAATTTAATTTTGCATTCGTAACTACCATAATTTATCGACGATCGCAGAGATGCCAACTTGCTCCGGAGAGCAAATATATATTTTAAAGTGGTAGTTTATCAATTGTGATTCTTGGTTTAATAAATTCAATTTAGTAGATTTTTACCCGCCACTATTTCTAAATAATTCGTAGGCTTATAAAATTCACCACTTTATAGTTCTTATGTCATCATATACATTTTAAAAAGAAAGAAAAAATAGTCAAATATTTGCCAAATTTACTTTGTAGTAATTTACCGTTTTTTTAATTATTTTGGCGTGTCCGGAGCAGTTGGCATCTCTGCGATCGATTTAAAACATAAATCCTTTGATCATTCCTTTTCAGCGATTAATTAAATAAAATTTGAAAAAAAATGCTTCTATTGATCTCTTTTGGAATTTTTGTTTTTCTTGTTTTAGAGCTGTTTCTCAGGTCCCCAGTGTCCCTCACAATTATTATAATGGTAGCTAACTTACAGATACTCCAACTACTGCGGATTTTCTGTAGTTTAAGAAAGTAAATTCAATATTATATTTATATTTTAATAAAGTTGAATTAAAAGAATTTTGTCCAGTGCGAAGTTACTTAAAAAAAAAATACATATAATATACAGACGAATGCTAATATTTGAAAAAAAAATTTACAAACATATCTGCTCATTTCAAAAAAATTTTGCTTAAGGTCACTATCACTGAAAAATATAATTTGAAACTGCGGTACATTCGTAATAGTTGTAGTCTCTGAAATTGTCCGAATCCACTCTCACGAAGTATTTTAGTAGATAGCGTAAACAATTTATATATTCTTCGAACTTATTTGTTCATTTAATATGCTTTGACGGGGCAATCCCTCTGTGTACCGTGAAGGCCAACCGGGGTGAGGTGAGGTAGGGAGATGATGAGCTTAATTTCGCTTTTTATTTCTCATGTAATCCAGATTCCTTCGATTTTAAATAGTTTTTTCTCCCCTTTTTTGTAATTTTGTATATAACTCGTTTATCTCTTGTTTATTGTCAAATCGTCGCTTTCTTGTATCGTGGCAAATTATTTAGATCAATAGGCAGGTGCAGAAAGCCTTAAACAATGTGATAAATTAACCTAAAAGGAAACCTTATGAAGTACCATCACATTAAGATTGCGTTTCGAAGGCTTCGTCGTCATAAGAAATTATGCTCTTTTTCTGAATAATATACTATTTTCATCACTGCTGTGAGTAGGCAACAGTTACTGATAAATGTGAGGACAAGTTTAGTCTCTCTAAGCCTAGGGGTGTCTAGGCTTTAGCTGAAAATACCGTAAAACGCCAGTATGGAGAAAAGCAGAAGTTCTGTGAAAACGAAAAGCATTTGTGGTCTAATTTTTGAATATTTAAAAACTTACTCCAATGCTGTCCTATCTGGACTCATAAAAATTTGTAAAAACTGGGAATGAGACAGAGATTTTGATAATTTTCATCTAGGGGGAAAAATGCCTCCTAATTGGAGACTTTAAAAAAAAGTATAACAACTTTTAAGATATTCAAGTTAATTGCCCGTTGTAAAGCTCGGATAATTCATAACTGCAAGATGAGATATATAGTTTAAAATTATCACTTTGTTTTAAGCTTAAAGCACTTAAACAGCGGCTTTTTTTCATTTTCTGTTGCATCAGAGCTTCGAGAAACCATGTTAACTGTGTACCAGACTAAGCTAGGGCTTTTGCACATTCTTCGGGTTGGCCATCACCTCCTACATGAGAAAGCCTCTACATGGTTTTAATTTTCTAATCAATATTTCTAATGTTATGTAAAAACGTCAATTTGTCATATTGAATTTTTCATTGTTTTATTATTTCACAAGTGAACGGGTTGATTTTTTTATGGCTATCACAATGTATTCGAATGAACTTCAATGTATGTCATAATTAAATATGTGCTAGTTATAATATAGAAATTTAATTAGTGAAATATGTATCAATTTATGTTAATATTTATTTATGTCAACTTACGTATATATATGTCAAATTATGTTTATATTTATATATGTCAACTTAGATTCGATGAATCAGATATTCAAATGTTATATTTACTCAAGCAAAGTGCTTGTTCTTCTATTAGCTACCACATCGACTGCTAAATTCAAAATGTTATTACTATAAATTTTCTGTAAATTTCTAGATGTATGGGATAGGGGCCGCTAAGTGGCCCAGGTGCCCAATTTTTGTAAATAAAAGTAAAAAAGTAGAAAGTTAACATTTAACATTCCAGATCACCTCAATAATTTGATTATTCAAGCACATATAAAAAATTATGGGACGGATGTAGTTTAAATTTCCCCGTCCACCAATCATATCTGCTCGGGTAACTTTTTTTCAAACTCCCACTTGGGTGAATGCAGGGTTGCCACGAGTGAGTAAAAATACAAAATTTGGTGACTAATAAAATTCAAAAATGTATTAAAATGAACATCTTTTTTGACATTTTTTTAGTCTACTATTGAAACTAATTGCAAAGAATGATTTCACTTTATATATGAATAGAAGTTAGGATTGAATAATTAAATAAACAAAGATTAATTGAGTTTCTACCAGAGCTTACAATTTTATTTGACCGTGTCAACCCAAAGCCTCCTACAACTGAAAGCCTCCACATGGTTTTTTATAGGCAGTCCGATCAGACCACTATCAAGGTAAACCAGTTTACAAAAGTACCCTTTAATAGAAATTCTAGTAAAAATAAGAGAGTGGTAGCAAA